GACATGGCGGACCTTAAAAGGTAGTTATCAGAAAAGGTCCGCCCTCTGTATTTCAGATATTTTTATGTCATAAAGGGAAATTTTTGGACAGGGTTTATTTTCGTAGCTTGAAAACTAGAGAAAGAGACAGGGTGGACCTTAAAACACAGTTATCAGAAAAGGTCCGCCTTCTGTATTTCAGATATTTTTATGTTATAAAGGGAAATTTTTGGACAGGGTTTATTTTCGTACTTTGAAAAACTAGAGAAAGAGACAGGGCGGACCTTAAAACGTAGTTATCAGAAAAGGTCCGCCCTCTGTATTTCAGATATTTTTATGTTATAAAGGGAAATTTTTGGACAGGGTTTATTTTCGTAGCTTGAAAACTAGAAAAATAGACAGGGCGGATCTTAAAACGCAGTTAAATCAGAAAAGGTCCGCCATCTGTATTTCAGATATTTTTATGTTATAAAGGGAAATTTTTGGACAGGGTTTATTTTCGGAGCTTGAAAACTTTTTAGTGTGCAGTGCTTAGAACTTCCTTAATTAATATTTTAAATACCAGTCTAATCGGGTGCAAATTTCCTACTTTTACACAAGTTTTATAAATGTATTATACGTCTTTTGCCATTCACACAAGTTTGTACAAAGTTAGGCTCATAGTAAACAAAAACTTTGAAATGAATGACCGTTCTCGATTTACTATTATTAGATAATCACAAATGTCGGCTGACCCCTACCACATTGTATGGTTTTGTTCATTATATATTCGTGAATTTCAGCGTAAAAAATTGTTGAATCGTATGGTTTAGATATCAATTAATGATTGATCAATTAATGATTTGAGATGAAAAATTTGCTGTGTTTATTTTTTCACATTTTACTAGGGCCCATAAGTGCATTCGTTCCTTTCTGAAATTGTGTGTCTTTAAACTCAGCTTTTCATATGTACAATATCGGTATACCTTAAAACTTTAAACTTTTTTGTTTTTTGACAGGTATCTGCGTGATTTTACTACACTCCAATACACCCCCCCCCCCCCCCCCGAAAAAAAAATTAAAAAAAAAAAAAAAAAAAAAAAAAAAACATTTTTGAGGGGGGTATAAAATGTTTGGATTTTTATTGAAACCGAGAGACAAAAGTATAAATAATATATCATAAATTTAGTGAACAGAGATTTTATATGAGCGACTTGTATATTAAATATGAAAAATAAAGGCATTTATAAATCCAGCAATTTATCGACTTAATTTGGTTTGATTTCGCCAATTAATGCACATTTACCTTGTCCCGGAGTAATATTTAGTAGGCCGCATTTCATTTCCGGAATTTTCTGAACTTTTCATTTCCGACATTTTTAAGTTTTTACATTTTAAAAGTTTTCATCTCCGACATTTGTCAAATTCATGTCAGTACTTTTTCGTCAATGAAAAAAGAATTCATACATCCGTTATAAAAAGTCTTAAGGTAAAATATTTTAGATAATTTATTCAAATAAAAGACTTTGCTCTTACCTTTCAAAGAAACTTAATTGATTTTAACCTGGAACAGATCTAGGTACATGTATTGTGAATGTGAAGTTTCACTTAACTGTTTCCTTTACTTATTAACTAGTCTTAATATTGTTTACAGAGTGTATGTAATGATTAGAAAAAAAAACGTGATTTGAAAAAATAATATTATACAATGCATATATAAAATACCCTGTTAAAATTCTAGTTCCATCTTTGTGATATATATGTTAAACTTAAATTGCCATACAGGTATCCTAAATAAATCCGAAAATGTGAAAAAAAAGAAGAAATAAATAATGTCGGAAATGAAAATAAAATTGTCGGATTCCGAAATTATAACAAAAATTGTCGGAAAATGCAATGTTAAATTCAGGAAATGAAATGCAGAGTTCTAGTAGATATAATAATTAGCCTTTGAATAAGTAAGAAACAGTGTTAACTTATAAAAACACAGCGGATATGGTACTTTAGGTTTTCTCAAACGAAACAATTATAGGTTAACCCCCAACTGCCCAATCCGTAGGTATGTTGTTTTTACAATAAGAGGTGTAGGGTAGTACACCGTGACATAAGCCCCTGTCACAGCTAGTGACCCTCCAGTTATTTACAACAATATTAAACGTAAAGAATGACAGATTTCTTTTATTAATACTATAAAGAAATATATTTTGAAAGATGTGAACTTTAGTTTTTGTGAGTGGATTAGTCAAACGTTTATCATGTTTATAGGAAAGAGAGTGTAACTAAATGATTCGTGTTGGACTAACGCACATTTTTCTGTTCATTCAATACTGATTAATCTGCCAGTAAACAAGGCGGTGAAGGTAAATGTATGTACATTTGTATTCTTGATATTTTTTTAATGATAATGTTGACATTAGTGTATTAATTTAAACGACAAAAGAAGCATGTCCCATCTTCCCGACAGGAAAACCGATCAATAAATCTATACATTCCTTTATTTATGTACATGTATTAATTTCGTTTCTTACTTATTGTTTACTACATTTTCTTGGAGAAAACACTAGCTATTAATACGACTATATATCCTTAATTAACTTTAAAAGAATAGTTTTTCAATTAATATCGAATGAACCACATGCAAACAATTTATATAAAAGGCCGAGGGCGGACCTTTTCTTATAGAGCCAGGCGGACCAAATATGTTATCGTATTAGGTCCGGCCGGACCTTTAAACGAGGCGGACCAAATATTATGCGACACCGGAACCAATCTTACGTGGGCCGGAATGTTTATTATGGCCCGGAACCAATATTATAGGTATTTAGCGTTCCGGCCGGAACGCCAAGTTACCCGGAACGTATATTATGCGACATCTGTCGGGGTACACCTTCGTCGACGCCATTTTCATCAATCCCAATTTGAACAATACTTTGAAAATCATGCCACCACTGTTTCTAAAGCTATTTATTTGAAAATTTGACATATTATAAAGATATTGATTCTGGTTTCACTGATTTAAATTTAAGTTCAATGTTTAACATAGTACCAAAGAAATAAAAGTAAATGTAATAGTGATATGCGAAAATTATTGCCGATTTTGTTCGTGCGCCGACAGACCATATCGGCCTTCATATAAATTGTCCCAATATTATCAATATGAAAGACATATATTTAAGAATTCATATTTTCAAAGAACATTGAATACATTATGTCTTTGCAAAATTTGGTTAGTATCGGTTGCGTGTTAAAAAAGTTATTAACACTGTCAACGACTTTTTAGGACAACCCTCGTATGTACGTTTCACGGTTGTGATCAATTCGCTAAACTCTGTACACAACACTGAGGGCGGAATGACGATGCTTGTGAAGGAGTTTTGCTTTCTAACATTTAAAGGTCTTAATATTTTTTTCATTAATATACAACAAGATTCCCACTTTTCCTAAGTATTACGAATAAAAGTAAAATTTGTGAGAGTGCAAGGATGTGTCAATCAAACCCATCCAAAAATTAACTTTAAGATGAAATAAAATTTTCATTGTATTTTTGTGTGAAATGCTAGTAAAATATAAAAGTCGGTATATTATACAGACAATATGAACTTCAAATCTGTGTCTATGCACCTTTAACCACTACGCTACGAAGTATACATGTATGGGTTATTGATTTAAATGAACGGGTTTGTTGAAGCGTGCATTTTTTTTTTGAAGAAATGTGACATTTTCATATAGAATGGGTCAGGTTCCATTTTTGGGACTAATGAAATAGATTCACATTTACGTCTCTATCATTTAAGGTTAACGAAGAATAGAGACTTGACCCATTCATATTCAAAATTCAATATTTGTGGCTCTATACTTAACCCATTTTCCACTAAATATACTTAACTGTCATCTTTGAAAAAAAAGACTGTCAAATAATAAGTTGTTCAGTAAAATAAAATAATGAAATGTTTTAAAGATGACATTACTGAAAACAAGATTTTTAGAAAAATATTACTTTTCCGTGACTTTTGAAAATTGAGAAAAATATTATCTCAGAGCGGGGGATTGTTCTCGCCGTGTACGCCCTCTTTCTTTGATTATTATGTCTAGGTACAGACTTTTCATGAGTTTCTATATTTTGTGTTAATGTACTGTAGTATACGTTGAGTATCTTTAATTTTTTTTACTGTTCCAGCTTGTAAACTTGATATAGCCTTTATCATCGATGATACGATTGCTGTTACCGCTACTCAGTTCACGGAAATGAAAACTGCTCTTGAAGTTTTTGTCAGTAAAATGCTTATTGGTGATAATGCAATAAGAATAGGAATAGTAACATTCGGTGATGGAGCTGTAAACGCCTTTCCGCTAAACCAGTACTCCAATGCATCTGACTTGATCAGTGCCATAAATGCTCTTACACAAGGAAATTCTACTTATGATAGAAATCTTCGGTATGTAGAAAAAGCCATCACGTATACGATGTTGAGCTTCTTCACGCAAGGCAACGGAGACCGTGATGATTCAATGAATTATTACGTCGTACTTACATACGGGGGTACTTCTGGATCTAATTTTACAGAATATGGAAGAGCAGTGCTACATAATTCCTCGATGGATATTTTCATTCTAGGTAATTTTAAGTGTTGCTTTGATAGTATGAAAGTTATTCACTTAATTTGATACCTATATAAGTTTGTAGCATTGGTCTATTATCATTTTTGCACCATCCATAAATTTTCCTATTGAAAGTACAAAAAATAAAAAAATTGATTCAGTCTGGAAAAGCATCAGTCTATTGCAAGGTTCAGATTTTGACTAATTCAGTCATACAGTTTCAATACAATGTGCAATGGCAAAAAAGACGAATGACCCTGAAAAAGTAATGTTCTTTGATGTAAAATTATGTTATGTTATTCTGAATTCTTTCATTTTGAGCTACCCTTAGAATTCCACAAAACTCTACGCGCGCCTGCGCGTGTTTCACAAAATATCAAATTGTAGCTAAAAACTCGTAAAGGATGATCTTCGATTCATTTTTAAACATTTTTGAACAGTGAATGGTACGTTTGATGAGCAGACTCAAAGCTCTGATGTGAATATGAACACCATTTTCATCGTCGTCGTTGTTATTGTATCTTTGGTGATAGGAACAGCTGTATCTGTCCTAGTATATAAAAGATTCATCAGTCTAAAGAATAAAGGTAAACGCCACTTACCCACTCACTTTTTTTTGAAAATCAAAAAAAGATAAATGAAGAATCTAGAGAATGGACTTTCTCTCAAACCTTAGAAATTCTACTTAATATACATTTTTACTATTACTTTTCTGAAAGATTTTTAACTACCTGATGATGTCTTCGAATATGTGTACAAAATTTACCGATTTCTTGTCCGTCTGTGTCAACTTTAAATCGCAGTATTCATGAACGGATTATCTTTCTTATAAGATATATGGCACATATATTTTGTTTTTCTATTATCATATGGCTCCTGCAGTGGCGGATCCAGTAATCTTGAAGAAAAAGGGTGCGGCCAGTTTGGGATCGGGGTAGGGGCCCACATCTACATAAAAAAAGATTTAGGCCTATTGAATTTTATAAATATTTTGGACACAAAAGGGGGAGGGCCTCCTGCCCCCTCTAAATTCGCCTGTGTCCTGTACAAATTTTCATATAAAATCCACACGTTTAATCAGTGGAGGAAATATAAAATGTAAAAATATTTATTGTAACAAACAGTAATCATTAGAATTATACTTTTACATGTATGAAGACACCTTAATAATATAAGAGAATAAATCTAAAGGGTTTTTATTTATCTACATGCATACATTTAATTAAAATCAGCATTCATAGAAGATGTCTTTCATTTCTGCAATCTCAGCTACATGTTATCTATTTGATCCTATATAATTGCTTTAAGTACCTCACAGAAATAACTAAAAATTGAATTGTTTTACATGATGTCCAGATTTTATAAATATAATTTCAGTCAGACAGATTGCTGTTAGGTAATGAAAATATTTATTTATTTATAACTGTCGTCTATAATGAAAGAATAATTACTTATACTGCCACTACAACTTCTTCTATATGTACATCTTCTACTACAAGTACATGTATATTCCTACAACCCTCTGCAATAAGAACAATAGCTACTACTAATACTACTGTTGCAACTACTACATGATTGTATAACTACCGGGGGTATTACTTGTACTTTTGCTATTTCTACTTCTACTACTTATAACACTACTTTTTACTAGTATTTTTACTACTACTACTATTATTGCTGCTGCTGCTTATACACAGGTATTAACTTATGTCATTTTGTCAGATTTCAATTGTAAACAAAAGTGCAAAAGTAACACCAAAAACTGATAAAGAAAAGTCGCCATTTTCCGACAAAAAACATTTTTAGACAATAAATAAAATTGTTTTTTATGTTTTAATACTCAGTGAATATAACATTTTTATACCCATGTGATTGTATATGCATATGTACATATTCTATTTATGACAATTTTCGAATTAAATTGTTTTTTATTTATTTTAGGCCACAAGCCCAACAAAACAGATAATTGAATGCGAGTTTTAATCTGAATAAAGTCTATTTCTTTGTAAATAATTATTGAAAGTGCTTTCAATCAGATCTGCAATAATGAATATAAGTCGTCTAAGACCATGAAATTGAAAGTGTGATTTATCAACAACATGTATATGCTTATCCATATCTTTAGTTGCAAAATGGATGACAAACTGTTTTAATAAGTAGGGATGAAACATTTCGATATAATCGAAACCTATCTGGACTTCTAAATTTTATCAATGAGGCAAATAGTTATAGTTTTGCACATAGCAAATGTTTACAAAAACAATACAAAATAAAAACAATATACATGCTTTTGTTTCTATTGAATTCTCATACCATTACTTACAGTACTTATTAATTAGGAAGAGACTGTCAGGAGGATTTAGTCTCATATTTTGTATGGATTGAATGTATTCTATTGTTTACAAAGGGATCGATTATAAACATCAGTGTATCGCTATACGATGGCTGTTCAATAAATAATGCCCTGAACTATTTTCCATGAAAAATAAGGGTCAGATTATGATAAAATATGTTTTAACGCATGAATGGATCTTTAGTCCACTGACAACCGGTTATGTGATCACGTTTTACATAGTTTTATATAGTTTAATTTTTAGAACCTATAAAACAAAGGCTATTCAAGACAGTGCATGTAAAAATACTAGTAAAGAATTGTTCAAGAAGACTGAAGTAAGAAGCTTCATAAAAGCTGCTGTTTTACTTAGTAAGCATCCCACAGAAATATTTAGTGAAGTGCGTGATGTTTATGGAAATCAATGTTTGTCATATAGACAAATTAAAAGGTGGATATCAAAAATCAAAAATTGTAAACTGGAGGTAAAAGTTTAGTCCCGTCCTGGTCGACCAAGAACAATAACATCTGATGCAATGATAGCTAAAATTCAAAAACTTGTTACTGATGATGGTAGATTGACTGTTAGACAATTAGCTAAGTTAGTAGGCATACCTGTATCTTCGGGCGCAGTTTACGCAGTTTTGAAGAAACAATTGGCCCTGAAAAAGCTTAGCGCGCGTTGGATACCGCACGTTTGACAAATGAACAAAAAGAACAAGGTGTAAGAATATCCAAACAATTATTGAAAAAAAACTGCAATGATCGACGTTTGTCAGAGCTTCTAACGGGTGATGAAACCTGGATTCATTACTTTGAACCCAAAGAAAAATTAACAACAAAATGTGATTATCAAAAAGATCGAAGCGCCTAGGGATAGCCTAAATATGCCAAAGCACTAAGAAAGTGTTATATGTATTTTCTTCAACAGCAAAGGTCTTGTGGCTCAGATTCCTATTAGGAAAGGTCGTTCGATAACTGGACGAGTCTACAAAGAAGAAGTTTACAAAAGGTTAAATGAGTGTGTGAGAGGTAGCGACCAAAGTTTGGCATCCGTCACATCAATCTCCTTCATGACAACGGGCCAGCACACATGTCACGTATAGTAAAAGAGTTTTTAGAGAAGGAAAAGGTTAATGTTTTACCACACCCACTTTATTCGCCTGACCTGTCTCCCTGTGACTTTTTTCTTTTTCCAAAGTTAAAAAGAACACCTCTCAGGAAAGAAGTGCAACTGTAGGAACTCCATAGGATCTGGTATATTTCAGAATATGAAGAGCATACCCCAAACTATGTATAAAAAGGCATTTAGGAACTGGATAAAAAGGTTGCAAAAATGTGTTTCAGTTAGAAGAGAGTATTTTGAAGGAAATCATTAAAATAAAAACATTGACAATTGTTTTTGTTTCTTTCTGAACACCGAGGACATTATTTATTGAACAGCCCTCGTAACATGCAACTTTTATACATTGAGGAGTCAATGAATTAAAAGTAGTAAAAGATGAAGCAGACATAGAATATCTTGTTATGTTCGGTAAAATGTAAAGAATAGTTTTTTCAATAAAAATGAAACTCATAAATTTACTTTACTTGTCATTTGAAAAAATATTTTGTTGAAAAACATTCTGATTGTACACACAACTACTCTGATATTCAAAAGATGCTTAAGTTTCTGATTGCAATATGTATGAAGTGTTTGGAGACCAGGATTCGGAAGTCCCGTGGATAGCAATTGTACTCCGTTATGAGCAGACATATTTTTGTATTCATATAAAGCAGAATGTATTCAAAATCCTATACATGAAAAGAAGAAAACACTTGCTGTGGCCTTCAAAGCAAAATTTAGATATGATGACTTATTATCGATTCACAGTAGGTAAATGTATTTCCATTCTGATGTCGAAACGATGTATCCCAGTGAGCTTGAAATAAAAGAAACCACAGAGTATGACACATATGCTTGGATATTTTACCAGAAAAGACATTTGTGGAAATCTAACAACCATGGCTTTATGATGATGGTGATGACCAACTTTACAATCGTCAATTTCCTACCGAAACGTATAACCGCCTCGTGTTTTTGCTTTAGAACGCGATATTATGATACAAAAATGTTGTCAAATACAATTGCATCAAGGATTGGCGATTTAATTTTGATCTGATGTTACAAGTCGTTCGAATTTTGTTGACTTTTCCTCTTTGAATAAATCGAGTTGTCTACGCAAAGTCTTTATATATGTTTTATTGCTCTGATGTCTGCGATATTTAATTTTAGCGACATAATTTTTACTCATTATTTTAGTGCGACATTGAGGAACTCAACATTGATATATTAAAGTGTATAAGTCGTCAAAACATGTCAGAAAAAATGTTATTCATCAGATATTGTTGTCAAAATTAAATCGCCAATCCTTGATGCAATTGTATTTGACAACATTTTTATATCATAATATCGCGTTCTAAAGCAACAACACGAGGCGGTTATACGTTTCCGTAATTTCCCTTACTTTATATAATTATCCTGTAATTTAACCACATTACCAGCATACGGTGTTTGTATCATTCAAATGATTCGATACACAAGAGCATGCTTTACGTATGAACATAGACGTATTAATTTCTAAAACGAGCCAGTTGTTGTAAAACAAGTTGATGAAAAAAGAATATCAGTAGTCTTGTTTTAAGTCATCATTTTGTAAGTTCTATTGATGAAACAATTAATGCCTTGTCAGTAAATACAATTTATCAATATATATCATTGTGTTGAATGCTTACTGACGTTTCTTTATACTAACTGTAAGGCCATTATTTACATGAAAAATTTTCCGTTATTCCCCGATCATGACAAAGAGCACGCGGCGGACGTCATCGGTTGGCAGGGAATGCTCACTCCTCCATGGCATCTGATCCAACCTCTGATTTTTTTAGATCCGAGTTTGCTCTGCTCCAAATATTGTATTGTTTAATGGACTATTGAGCTTAAATACTGCTCGTTGTCTCCATATTTCACTTTATGATATTATGAATTGAAAACACTGTCACGAATAGTTTTGATAAATAATAAAACATTATGGGTTTTGCATGTTTTAAGTTGACTAAAAACTTTGAAAAATATTGAGCACAGTTGTTCGTCACTTAGTTAAGTAATGAGAGTACATATTTATCGTGCAAAAGCCTTGTGTGACACAGAGCCACGGTGTCTCTTGCCTTATTTTTTTCTTTTGTAGATATCCATGGGTGGTTACATGTATAAGAAATTATGTACCAACAGATCTATTCAACTTAAGCGATCTACGAAAATTGGCTTCCATGAATTTTAATGATTCAACAGTAACTGAAGTTTTGATTAATCCTGAATTTAGAAGACTTTAGAGAGTTTATATATGCACTTATATTCTTCTCTGTAAAAGTTTATCTTTTCGCATTGTCCTATCCTCCAGAAGGGCATTAGTTTTAACAGATTGAAGATACATTATGTACATGAAATATATGAAAATAACGAACGGTATTCAATCTTAAAATTTCTTTAAACACATAAAGATACTTTTCAACGAATATTTATTTAACTAATCACGGCTTTATTGTTCTTGAGAAAAATATGTCGATAGAAAAATTCTTTTTTTTCCAGTGTGTTACATTTGGTATCTAGTTGCACCCCGATGTTCTTGAGTTGTTCTTGAGAAAACATGAACAAGAGGCCCAGGGGCCACATCGTTCATTTGAGTACTGTGGCTAGGAAAAAAGCAAAACTCAGTATAGTATTAAGAAGCGTAAATGCATGAGTTGTCCGAACCTACCTCTAAAAGGCAGAAGGGGTAAGGGGAGGGGGTACAATCTGAACAAACTTGAATCTACATTATCTGAGGATGCTTCCTAATAAAATGACAAACCATGGCTTTGCTGTTCTTGAGAAGAAGATTGTGCCTATATACTTCGATGTTAAAAAATTGATCATCCATTGCGCCTCCACCCTGCCCAGTAGGTCATGATTTTGAACAATATTTAATCTACACTTCCTGTGGATCCTTTCACATAAATATGAACAATCATGGCTTTGGTGGTCTTGAGAAAAAGATATTTGAAGATTGTTCCTATATACTCCTATGCTAAACTTTCATCGTCCATTGTGGCTCCAGCCTACCCCCAAGGGTCATGAACAAACTTGAACTACACTACCTGTGGATGCTTTCACATAAATTTGATCAACCATGGCTTTAATGTTCTTAAGAAGATTTTAAAGATTATTTTACCTATATATTCTTGTGTTGAACTTTTATCGTCCATTATGGCCCCATCCCCCTCCGAGGGTCATATTTTGAAAAAAAAAATACTTGAATCTAACCACCTGCAGATTCTTTTATATAAATATGACCAACCATGGCTTTGATGTTCTTGAAAAGAAGATTTTTAAAGTTTTTCCTGATCAAATTTTGATAAGCCATTCTGGCCCCGCCCTACCCGCCGGGGTTATTGTTTGAAGAAACTTGAATCTGCACTAGCTAAGGATAATTCCACATGAGTTTCATCATTCCTGGCCCAGTGGTTTTGAGAAGAAGATTTTTAAAAGATGCCATTAATTCATAATTATCTCCCCTTGTAAGAGGGCATGGCCCTTCATTTGAACAAACTAGAATCCCCTTCATTCAATGATACTTTGTGGCAATATTTGGTTGAAATTCGCCCAGTGGTTCTTGAGAAGAAGATGAAAGTGTGAAAAGTTTACAACTACGACGACAACAACAACGACAACAACGACAGACAACGGAAAAATTTTGATCAGAAAAGCTCACTTAGGCCTTCGGCTCAGGTGAGCTAAAAAGCTCTTCTATATTTTCCTATATGTAACTTTATTTTCCTGTTATGCTTCATTTGAGATCAAAATGTTGACAAAATTAATTTTAAATACCCAGGATGCCTCTCTGTTTATATAAATATTTATGGCTAATATATGTTATGGAAAAGAAGATTCTTG